TAAAACGAAAGAGTGACCAGAGTGGTGTCACTGGCTTCTCTATAGATCCCCAAAATCATCTGAATCATTCTTCCACTTTTCGTTTCAGAGAAATCTTCCATTATCTTGTCAAGTTCTAAAGAGCTAAGAAGCTGAATAGCTCGTCTGTACTGATCTTCTGTGACTCCGAAGCTTCCATGAGAAAACCTGTAACCCCATTTCCCAAACCAAGGCCGACCATATGCAACGCCATGAAGCAACCTCAGCTCCATCGATCTCTTCCTCGAGATATCATCCAAAGAGATCTTTCTGCAGCCAATTAAACAGACATCCATAATCAAATTAATAAAAAGTAAAACGAATCCCATGATGATTCTGATACAGGATTAGAGGGATCCAAATCCAAACAGAGGGATTTAAGATATATGGGAGAAAGTATCCTAACACTGATCAGCTGCGGATAAAACACAGCAAATCAATATCTTCTTATGAATCCTATTTTTCATTTTAGTTGTAGAACAGACAATTGACCAGGAATTGGTGGTATAAAGGGAAAGTACTTTCATTCATACACACAGACAGGGATCATCCAAGATTAATCTATCATCAACATCAGTCCAACCTCTGTTCCTCCCTGAGACTACCCTCCGAAGCTTCACGACGATGCTTCAACCTGCGGATATTCGCTTTGTCGAAGTGCTGTCTTCTTTATGTTAACTCTTTCTCCTTATAATTTGTTCGACACTTGATCAAGCAAAGTCATAATAGATAGCATATACTAATTAGATCATATCATAGATGCTATATTATCTCCTATCTGATATCATTCTCTTTAACTCTGTATCAGATCCTGGTAAGAATTAATTTGTAGTGATACAAGGAAGATCAGTCTCGTACCGTGTCTGGAGGGTTGCACAAAGACGGTCCCAGAAGTCCATTATGTTATCACCGGAGAGGCAACTGGAACTGGAAGCATCACCATTGATGCAAAGAAGATGTCCGAAGCCGTTACAGTGGATCACGCCATGCAACAAATGAGAAGTACTCTTCAGACTCTCTTTCGTTAATGGCTTCCTCCATTCATCCTTCCTTGGGACAATCAGATGATACCTTCTCTTTGATACATAGTGGTGACCCCAACCTGAAAGACCATGGATAGCATTCTAGATGAATGAGACAGTACCGGGAAGAAATCTTACTCGTAAGTAAGCATTCAAGGACGGATCGAAATCAGAAGCAAACAAAAAACACAATAAATGCCCGAGGAAAAAGGGGGAAGAAAAATCAGCAACGGACTTGAGGAACAAGGAACTCGAAAGGAGGTAGAACTGATCATTCTCAAGAACAACGAACAAAAGCACGATCGCAAAAAAAAAAAGCAACAGGTAGAAGAACTCCCTCACTCCAACACCGAAACCCTAGAAACAAACCGAGAAACCAAAAACAAGAGCGACGTCGCTGAATTTAGGCATCAGACTTGAAAAGGAAGTCGTAGTGTAATCGAGACTGAATCCGAACTGATAAAGCGGCGATTTCCGAAGCAGAGACGAAACAAGGGAATTCAAATTCGATTTGAATTCTCGAGAACACAAAAACAAAACGCACGATCAAGATTTTAGTGAAATCGAAACGTAAATTAACGGAGAAACAGAATGCGGCCTCACCGAAGCATCTGCAGAAATCGCAGAGAGGGTTGGAAGAGGAAGGGATGTGTTCTTCGACGGTGTAGAGAGGGAAGACGACGCCGTTTGCTTCGTTCGCAAGCAAAGTGCACCAAACGGGATTCCCATGGAGGGAGTAATCTTCCTTCTCGGAGTAGTTGCGGAGAAACAGTCTGATATTGTCTCGGAAGGTTCCAGAGACATCCATGAAGGGAGTGGCAGAATTGTAAATACTCAGGATCTTGGGGGTTCGTTCTCTCTTCCTGCTTGCTTCGTATACGGTTATCGCCATGACTGCGAGGGAGGAAGCGAGAAAGAGAATGTTTGAGAGGGTTTATCATTAGTGTCACGTGACCCGGCTTTGTTTGCGCGTGAGGTGACAATGCCTCTCGGTGCAAATTGACGCTTTTGCCCTCCCGCCGGCTGCCTCGGCGGGCCTCTATCGTATAATTTAATAATAATATATGTACAAAAATGTTATAATATCTTGTATGAATTGGAAAATAAGAGCTAGTCTACATGTTATATTATATATGGATTGTCAAACTTCTATACAAGAATTGTAGGCTTCCTTTCTTGGATAAATATAAAAAAAAATTGGACCAAGCATTGTATTTTTTTTTATTTTAAATCGTTTTTTTCGAAAAATATAGACTAGCTACAATAAAAATCTAAATTCTTTTATCTTTATCAATAGAGAATCGGGGGCATCAGTAAGTTTCTTATTAGAGAATCAACGTAATTTTAGAGATTTTTTGTTTGATCAATATTTTTAGGTAACTTAACATCTTTAATTTCGGGGGCGAAACGCTAAGCCTTGAAAACCGCTAGTTTTTCTCGATTTCATTCTCACCTAATTTATGTTTAAATATTTAATTTTAATTGCAAATCTAAATCTAATAAATATTAATTACACGTACACATATGTCAAAAATACGGATATGGAGATAAAACAACAATAACATCCTATTTGTAGATAGATTTGTTTCCCTTGACAGAAATATTCCTTCACATTCTCATCTATAAATTACGTGCATTTTTTTTCTTCTTTTGCATTTATACAATAATCGGTGGAATCATGAGATTTCTTTCAGCATTCGTTCTTCTTTTCATATGTTTCTTCGTCCTCTCCGGTAAAAAAAAAAATCATTTGTTATCGTAATAATTTATGTTATAGATTCTGTTAATTTGCTTTTTAGGAGACGTATTTTATGTTTAATTGATAAGAAAGGGAATAAAAACTCATCTTTGAATCTCTATTCCGAAATGAACATTTACCTGGATGTTTCCAATCATATATTTGGGTCGAAAATCGAATAAACATACGAATTATAAAAAAATATTTTATGTTTTTTTTTCGAATTATTTATTTTGAAGGAAGAGAAGCGAGAGAGATGATGAGCGATGGAGATGAATCCAAGAATAGGATCAATGAAATGAACTGTGACATATTCTGGAACATGGTACCATGCGAGATCGATGCATGCAGCAAAATGTGCATTTCTTACTACGGCGCGGTCGCTACGGCTCGCTGCGATTCCCAAGGCGCCCCAAACGCAGCCTGCGTTTGTCATATCGACAACTGTTGAAACGCAAACGCTGCTTTAATGGATTTGTTTTGGTATTTCACTTCCTGTTGTTATGGCTGGGAGTCTGTGTACCCCCCACCATATAAATGGACTTGCGCTGATTCAAAAATAAATAAAGAGAATAAAAAATGCCCCAAAAATTAAATTCACAAACGCAGGCTGCGTTTTATGGGCCGTATAATAGTCATTTGTATTTTATTGCGTTTAATTTTGGGCTCATATAGAAAAAATACAACTGTTTGTTTGATAAATACGATTTTGGGCTCAGCTCATAATATCTATATGATTTAACTGGGCCGAGTAAAAAGCCCATTTCTCTGATAATTGATCTATACCGTTGATTTTCTCGTGACATCGCCACCGTTGAAATTAAAAGAAGACGCGTGCGTGACGTGCCGGCTGTAACTCTTCCACGTTGACACACAACGCGCCAAAAAAGAAAAAAAGAAAATCAAAATCAGTTTCATTACAAAACAAGAGACATGTTCATATTGAATCGACACTGAAGTGATTCTACTAACATTGGGATAAAAATATAATGTTTTGGTGGGTTATGTTTCACAATCAAATTGTGTGAACTTGAATATGTGTTTCTCTTCTCCGTATGAATTCAATCGTATTTGACATTTTCAACGGATAAAAAAAAAACAGATTGAGTGGTAATTATAGAATTAGTTATAATGAACAATATCTTATGATTTAATGATTTATTATTTGGATTTAAACTATATATTCATTTGGAAATATGTATGAGAGGTTTCGTACGGCGATAATTTATTCGACTTTTTTTCTTTTGAAAATGTTGTTGAACTGAATATCCGGTGAAATTATTAAAAAAAATTAATTTAATATTTTTCTTATATTATATAGCATGGTTACTTGTTGTAAAATACAGGGTGTACAGCGTAGAAAACATTGACCAAACAGATTGACGCGCTTATCAATTTACCAAACCATTATGCACTAGATATATACAGTTTTACGCCATGGTAATTAAGGACATTACTCAAATAGCTACCAACGTATTTTTATTGGTACGTTTAATGCTACAGAATCAATTCATGTCAATCTTGAATATATATATATATAT